AGCTGCCCATACGATCGGGCGAAGCAACAGAAGGCGGCAACGAGGTTGGGGACTTGCCACTTAGCAGGAGCGCTGCCTGTGTCATTCACTGAAGTGGCGGGGTTTGCGAATCAAAGGCCTGTTGACTAAAGGAGCTGCGGATTAGGCTGCGAGATGGAGAATGACCGGTTGGCTGGCGTACAACTCCTCTCGTCAATTGGAAACAACATTAGGCAATAGCGAAGTGCAGGCCTAGCTGCTGACGAATGTGCAACCTAGTCCCTTGAACGACCTAGCTGCAGGCGAGCTCCGGCCTGAAGGGTCGCCTGCTGATTGGTGGGTTGCTCAGCCTGCCGAGTGGAGTAGTCAGAGGCAAGTCGTGAGCTTGCGGACTTATTTGTAGCCGCTAYATTTCGGGTYGCAAATCCTKTTGAGGAGTTAGCCGRTGCAGTTRTGAAAGRGGATCAAGGWGGTTAGTGTCCCAATTGSGAGGTTGCCAGGGGGATTGACTGCGGACAGTTYGACTATGRAGTGACCAAGCTGCTGACTTTTGGYCATCATTGCGGGGCCCTCAGRYGATCYAAGATATCAAGGCCCTCTCCTRCGAGTCTGAGAGCACCCTTCTGGGATCTGAGAGTCTGAAATTCCCTCTATCTATCCTTCTTACTCTAAGTCTAGTCCCCTGGTTCTGAGAGGAAGGCGGCGAGCGGGATTGCCACCCGTAGGTCCGCGTCAAGACTCTGTGGGGAGTCCGCCCACCGATTGCGGGAGCTCAACTGGAACTCAGGAGGAGTTCTTGAGGCAGGGAATCGTAAGGTAAACCATTTCCATCTGTACTACCTACTACCACCCGTGTTTTGTTTATCCCCCTGCAGTATGATTGATGTATGCATGAGTTTGTCCCTATGATTATTGCTTTCCCTTCAGGACCCAATCAGACTAAATGGAAAGAATGTGTGAGAGTGAAGCTTAAGTTTCATCTTTGTTTTGACTGAAAGCAGACTAAGGATGAACTGGGGAAGGTGGGAGGAAGACAGTTTGCATGTGTTTGGAAGGGTCAACCAAGGACCAGGCATCTTTTCTACTGTGAATGGCCTGATTGCTATGTTTATTTAACTGTTTTCTGAAGAACCAGGCATTGTGTCTACTGTGAATGGTCTGGTTGCTATGTTTATTTAGTTATATTCTGGAGAACCAGACATTGTTTCTACTGTGAATGGCCTGTTTACTCTAGTTAACACTGGGGGTTTGCCTGATTGAAGGGGTTTAAGTTCTTGTTTATTCTGAGGGAGGATTTCTKGTCTAAGGCTAARCATTGYTTCCATGATGAATGGTTTAGCCTGAAAACCACGCACATAAGTTAAACTKAGTATGAAAGGAWAGTACTTTATGTATATTTGCATGTGAACTGGCAGCTGGGCATTGTTTGTACTGTGAATGGTCCAACGTTAAGCCATATCATTAAKAAGAGAAAAGRTAAAATACAAAGTATAAATGGAAATAGTCTGGGCAARCTGAACATTGTTTCTACTGTGAATGGTTCAGTCCTCTGCCCATATTTGTCTTTTCCTTTGAAAACAAAGTCARAGAAATAYTAAACTTTGAATATTAAACAGCTYAGWGCGACYAGGCRTTGTTTCTATRGCGAATGACCTAGTCATTTGCGCAAAAGAAGAGAGAAGTARTTGTGCAACYWGTTCGTGTWWATCATAAAGGCAAGTTGGGCATTKTTTCCATGRSGAATCGTCCAGCTCTMTGTCTTATGYAAGATRGGTATGAGGATTCAAKGACTTGAAGATTCATGAACTATTTATATGGAATAAACWTGGGTYGGTGAGAGTACTTACCTTTGTGGTTTGGTTTGCATGTGACCGAGTGAGATGACTATTTTGTTTGGATTTCAGTATTATAGGTAGTTGCTTAAGATGCTCGCCATGTGCTGGAGCGATAGGAGTTAGTGTTAATTCCTGCATTTTCAAAGCTGTTTTTTTTTTACTTAGATAAATTCTCGTATTTTCTAGGATTATTTTTTTTACTTGGCTTTGTATAAATCTTGGCAGGCTACCTTCTCTACGGGAAGCGCTGCTGAAATTTCTACAAATCCAAGGAGTTACTCAATTCTTGACTTGTTAGAATTCAATTTGTCTTTTCTTATATCTGACCTAGTAAAAATCTGGAAAGTCTGTTTTTCTAAAGGGAGTGCTGCCCAAATTTTTGCTAGTTCAGGGAGTTAGRCAAAATTGGACTTTGAAAAGTCAAAGTTACTTTCAAATTCTCAACTTAGCCTTGTATAAATTTKGGAATAACACTTTTCTAGAGGGASTGCTGCCGAAATTTCTRCAAAACTAAGGAGTTAGTTAAATCTTGTCTAAATTGAGYTGAAGTTGTTTTCTRAGCTCATRTCTRACTTAGTATAAATYTGGGAAGTCTCYMTTTCTAAAGRGAGTGSTGCCCAAATTTTTGCTAATTCAGGGAGTTAGGSAAAATTTGAYTTTCCAGAGTTARAGATTATTTCTGCTTTCATATATGGACCTATATAAATTCYRGAAAGACACTTTTCCTACGGGAAGCGCTGCCGAAATTTTCTTMATTTAAAGGAGATAGATTATAATTTGACAGGTGRCGATTCTGGTAGTCCACTCTGAATAGGGGAGATTTTGCCATGARCSTACTTTTCTTTGGGCACTTGCTTAAAGGTAGGATTAAATATAGTTAGGTAGAATGATTMTTGAGTGAGGTTGTGATATGGGGATTATTCTCCATTGACTTATAGATCTAGCATGGGGYATTGAGCTGTCATGTGTTACAAGTCCTCTTGATCGTTTGGTTCAAGTTCAGGGCTAGATTCAGCTTGATCCTACGAGGATCACATTTTATTATCATTGATAACAGGTCGGTTGTCGATTCGTCGGTTTACGATTCAACTCCAATCCACTCATGCCACTCAACCTAAAGGCTTTAGCCTTGTGATTGAACTCTTTTGTTGTGTTTTCACCCGGACTTTATTGAATGGCCATCCAACAAAAGTACTGAGTATTTATTGAAGAGTTGCACGAGTGAGGCTTGTATGGCTAAAGCAAGGGGTATGAGTGCAAGGAATGGTTGAAGTTGACCCCGTGTAGTGCGTTGACTTTTGATCGAATCTTTGATGTGATTGCAGATGCGTTTGTGGATCGGGCTCTAGATGTGATTGTCTGCGATTACATGTATATATGGTTGAGACGAGCCTCACTGTGACTCTGAGAAGTGATCGTCCTATATAACCAACCCCCATATATTCATGACTGCCCTGAGTTTTGAGAGGCCTACTGTAATTGTGCATAAGGGTTGACCAGGTTATATCTTGAGGGAAAATGGAGATTCCTTTTTTACCCTTGCTTGTTAGAGATTTTTATGGTTGGACGTTGTAGTCCGTGGCAGCCGTTAAAGTCAAACCCCTTGACTTTCGCCCAGGCCCGGCGTGAGACTCATCTCCAGGGCAGTAAGAGGCGACTGCCACCACAGGTATGGACCTGTGTACCACCCACTGTGCACAGAGTGCAGAAGAGGGTGTGTGGTCTTCAACCACGCATGGCGGTTGTCCAGCGTCGAGAGATTAACCCTCAAGGCGTGTGTCGGCCGACACTTGAGTGTCGAATGTGACGCTCGAGATTAACGAGGACCGCGCGAGTCTGGGTACTACATGGTACGCCATCATCGCAACTGCTTGCGTACGTTTGCATTGCTAGTCGATATGAGTTAGCCCTGCGTCCGCGCGGTTTTATACTAAGTCTCGCGCGACGCCTATTCGATTTCCGCATTGTAAAGTTATGGGTTGGCTACCGAGGGGTTAGGAGCGTTGTTGCGTTGTTTGTGTTGTGTCCTTTTCGTGTGTGTGTGTGTTGTATTTCTATGTTCGTAAAGTGGCGTGCGCGTGGTGTGTGGGATGCGTCCTAGTCGACCGACGACGAGCTGCGCTTGGGACCTTAGCCCCCCAAGGTGCCGGTTCGCGTGCGGGCCCGATAGGCATATTACCGCGCGTACCCCCTATGCTACAGCGAACGAGAAACGCCCTCGGCTGGTCCACCTCTGCGATTGCAACTGATTAGCTTTCGTACGGTGGACTGGTAGCTCGGCGGGGATACGCCCACCGAAGGGAGGTGACAACTCCCGTAAGTTGTAGGTAAGCCGTACCTCGCGTAGGCCGTATCTTGTCGTAGGGGCTCGCGAGAGGTATGGCTGGCGCACTCGGTCGGAGCGGCCTAAGGAAACTCCATGTATATTCGCGACGAGGATTAAGAACCAACTCCTGAGTGACGCGGCCGGGAGGGTCCCGCGCTGCCTCGTGCGGTGCCGGACCGATGCGCTCGACAACGCTATCGTCATTGTAGTGAGCGGCGTTGGCGTTCTCCATCGCGCGCACCCGACGTGTGCATTCTTTGTTTTGGAGCCCGCGGATGTTGCGCGCACAGTCCTGGCATTCGTCGTGCGGAATGCGCTGTCGCGTCCCTCACGACCAGCGCCAGGAGCGCGCGCGCAGCATCTACGGCCTTCATGGTGGATCATGTGCACGTTGTGTGCGCGGGATGGAGACGACAGAAGCTCTCCCGGGATTGACTCCATAGTCTCTTCGGGGGGGGAGGCTCAAGTGTTGTGGCGAGAACACGAATACGGAACGATGACCCCCTCCTCTTTATGTATACCATCCCTCTCACTGCACGCCACGTGGACGGCGGACATTCTTCGCACCGTGGCCGCCCACGCGACGCTTAATACCAACACTGGTCGCTCGCAACCCATGTCGCACCCGCTTGTCGCTCACCAACGCCGCCGCCACCACTACCCGTCCTTGCTGGCGCAGTTGTGATAACCAGCGTATAATCTGTTTCATGAGAACAGCAAACGTGCGAGGGAAGTGTTTCGAGGGGGTTTCGTGTTGTGCTGGGAATAGGCAATTTCATGTTTGCCACAACCACGCGGCAGTGTATTGCAATGTTCACTAGGGTAACCACGCGGGAGTGTTTTGCAATGTTGGGCTTGGGACACGTGGAACGAATGAGAGAATAGCAGAATGGGACACGTGGAACGAATGACAGAGAAGCAGATTGAGACACGGAAACCGTGTGGCCCGATGTCTTCGTCATCCGTTCCCGCCGTCCCCGCCGCTTGCGACACGCGGCACGAAATGATGATAATGATGATGATGGTGATGACGACATTGATGTTGATGTTGATGCTGTTGACGATGTTCATCATGATTACGATGTTGGTGATGATGACGGTGGTGATGTTGATCACGATGACGATGGTGCTGATGATGATGACGAACATCATCAACATCATCAGCGGCATCGTCGCCGTCATAAAACGCACCACCATCGTCGCCTTCGTCATCGTCGTCATCATCAACAGCATCATCATCATCGTTATCATCGTCGTCATCATCTTCGTCATCATCATCATCATCATCATCATCATCATCATCATCATCGTCGTCGTCATCATCTGCGTCATCATCATCATCATCATCAACATCATCGTCATCATCGTCGTCATCAACACGACGATGACGACGATAATGTCGATGATGATGATGATGATGATGACGAAGATGATGACGACGACGACGATGATGATGATGATGATGATGATGATGATGACGAAGATGATGACGACGATGATAACGATGAGGATTATGCTGTTGATGATGACGACGATGACGAAGGTGACGATGGCGGTGATTTTCATGACGGCGACGATGCCGCTGATGATGTTGGTGATGTTGATGACGTTGACGATGTTGATGATGATGTTGTTGATGATGATGATGATGATGATGATGAGAATGATGATGATGATGATGATGATGATGATGATGAGGATGATGATGATGATAATGATGACGATGATGATGGTGGTGATGATGGTGGTGATGATGATGGCGATGATGATGATGATCACGATGATGTTGGTGGTGATGATGATGGTGATGACGATGGCGATGATGATGATGATGATGATGGCAAGCAAGAATCATGGGGCCCCTCGTGAGGAAAGAACAAGCGGGAATCAAAGGGGCATACAAAAACCATCTGGCCCAATATCAGCGACATCCGTTCCTGCTGTCCCCGCAACTTCAAACAGGTGGCGCGACGCGGCTGCTCCCATGTGCCTCCAAACATGCCCGAGGGCCGACACGTGGCCAGGCAGAACATCACTTTACCTTGGCGAGAGGACAACGCCCACGACGGCGCAGCTCTTTGAAAGGTCAAAGTTCTTCGACGAGGCGCAGTTCTTAGACGACGGCAAAGCGCAGACGACGGCGCAACCGTTCGACAAGGGCTCAACGCATACGATGGTGGCCACTCGCTGACGCAGGACGCAGAGACGGGATGTCGAAGCGCAGACAACTGGATTCCATCACCGGTCAGAAGGATGGGAAACAGTTGGCATCGAGAGGTAACCCATACACCCTCGCCCGCAGCCGCGTGGCGCAACAGCGGAGAAGCGAAGGCGATGGAGGATGTCGCTGACGGGACGGCGCTCGCGAATGCGCTCGTCAGGCTGGAGATGCGAATGGGCTGCACCAGACCCCAGGCAACTGAGCCTCAG